ATTTTTAGTCCATCTCGAGATTTTATCTGTAGAAGATAACCTGCTTAATAATTATGCACACCTGAATATAAGGCGTTTTTCACTTCCAGCCTTCATGAACAATAATATATAGGTTATAAGTGATTAAATACAAGATTAATAGCAGTTAAGATTGATGTTGTTTGGAATTGGTCAAATGTGCTTGGGAAAAAATATAATCAGAATATCAACTTGCATAATAATTATGCATGCACTGTATTTTTCCTCTTCTGCTGTAGTGGTAATGCAAGAAATATTGTGAATGGTTGTCAAGGCAGCCGATCAGAATTTAACAGCCTCTTCTCTGATTGGCTGGAATTATGGCATATTGTAACGCTGGGTTGTGTTGAGAAAGCGAGCCGTTGGCATGTAGAGAGCACTGAGGGCGGGCATCAGGTGAGCAAGCTAGTGAAACGTTGCACTCGCAAAAGAGAAGGTCTGCACACATCAAAAAACGTATTTTAAATGCAAAATTTATTTTCGTGCGCTCAAAATACTTTCTTCTTTGCGAGAGAAACATTTTCTTTTCGCGCGCAGAATTGTGGCAGAGATCTAACCCTATATGAAACAGGCCGTCCAATTAGATTTGAGCTTAGATCAGGTGTCCAGAGCAGCTGCTGTTGCACAAAAGGGCGAGAGTGGTGGCGCTGTTTAAAAAAACAGTGTAAACAAACACCGAAGAAGAGAGAAGAGAGTGGATCCTGAGTTCTTGTTATCAGTGGTATCTCAGGACAGATTTATTCTCACATGTTCTTTTCATGTCTGTTAATTTCCCACTGAATTATGTGATCTGAAGAACACTGTCCGTTGTCTTCCACAGGCGCGAGTATTATGAGTCAGAGCGCATTCAGATCTGTCAATCAGGTATCTCGATTGCAAATAGGCATATGATTTTGACGATATATTTTCTGTACATGTTTTTATGCAGCTCATGGTATTTTCATAACAATAAAGGATGTTTATGACAAATGATAAGCAGGTGTATATTTTAAGATGTATTCTTGTAAGCATTATAGATAGTTTGTGTTTCTGGTGTAGAACCAAACTTTATTTATCTTAATTTAATGCTGTATATTGAGCAGCGGATGATGTTAACTCCATATACGAGATACATATCTGAGGTTGTTGGTCAGTGCCACCTACCATGCAGGCGTGAATTAGCAGAAGGCAATCAATCGTTTCACGCTCGGTGTGAAAGCGCCGTTCGTCGGCGATTCACCTTGCTTTTTTGCATCGCGCTCAGTGTGGAAAGGCCTTTAGGCTGCTTTAAATAGATTTATTTATGTAGATAAATAAAATGTATCCATTCTTCTTTTATAGAGATAGTTCACCCAAAAAATTAAATTTGCTGTTAGGATATCTAGGATGTAGTTGACTACACAATGCCGTAACGTTATATTATTAAAACACTCAATAATATGAAATGTGGATGTTTTGTATGTCTAAAGCATATAAAGTGAATGAAATAGTCTTCATCAACTCAGCTTTATACATAAACCAAGAAAAACCATACAAACTTTAATTTCTCCCCTTCATTCAAGTGCTCGGTTCACGGATGCGCATATCACCGGCACATCGGTTCATTGGTCTGAGTTGGAACTGTTTGCTCAGTTCAGTGATTGTTGGAGGAACTGAAGCACTGAATGAGCTGGCAAAAACAAGCATCATAGGATCATATACACCTGTATATCAGCTCATTTCGATTCAGAGTGATTGTCGGGCACATCCAAAAATGAGTTTTGATTGAGTAGCTTCTAGATCTGTGCTGGCTCGAGCTGTAATTCCGCGAACTGTTTCGGATGATTCAGCTGGTTCATCCAGTTCACTAAAAAGAACTGGTTCAAAAGAATGATTTGTTCATGAACCAGACATGACTCTAGATGTCTGGGTTCATCCAATTCACTAAAACAGAACCGATTCAAAATCATTTTCCGGACACCACTCTGAAGCATTTGCCTGAGGATGTGGATTAAATGTAATAATGCAGTAAATAATGTTCAGTTTTTTGCACAGACTGATTGTTTCGCTTCCTAAGACCTCAATGTATCAAGAGGTGCCAAACATATTAATTTAGTTTTGATTGTATGTGTTTTTTTGTAACTCTCAAAAGATTGTAACCGTCGACGAGCATTATATGAATCACAAAGGACCACAGTTTCAGATAAAAATCTTCTTTAATTTTCTGCTGAAGAAAAAGGTCACCTACATCTTGGATGGCCTGAAGGCTAGTAAATTAACAGCAAATTTTCATTTTTGAGTGAACTATCCATTAAAGTACAGAGCTGTAGACCGTAACTGCATGACACTGTAAATATGTAGCATTAGATAATCAGGAATCAAGTTCTCTTGCATCTCTGTATATGAAATTAAATATATGAAACCTTTGTTACTTGAAGGCAACATGCAAACTTTTTTCACAATTAGAAATAACATTTATTTTTCAGGTTTATTTGTGCAGCAATTAAACAATTTTTTTCCTCTGGGATCTTCAGTGGTTTTGCCCTGTTGTGTTGACAAACTCTTATTAAAGAAAAATCTGAAGGTGGAATGGAGAAGAACAGACTCAGAGACTTTGGTTCATCTGTATCAAGATGGTGAGAGTCGAGCAGAGAAACAATCACAGGATTATCATGATAGAGCTCATTTCTTTACTGATCAGATTCAACATGGAAACTTCTCCCTCCGTCTGGACAATCTGAGAGCTGAAGACGAGGGAGAATACACATGTACAGTTTACATTCAGCAAGAGTCTGGTGAGACTGTGGTTGAAATAAAAGTTAATGTTGGTGAGTAGTCAAGTCAAGTCACCTTTATTTATATATCGCTTTTAAAAATACAGATTGTGTCAAAGCAACTGTACAGCATTAAACAGGAAAATAGTGTGTCAATAATGCAAAAGGACAATAGTAAACACTCAATTTTCAGTTAAAGGCTCTACATCTTGGATGGCCTGAAGGCTAGTAAATTAACAGCAAATTTTCATTTTTGAGTGAACTATCCATTAAAGTACAGAGCTGTAGACCGTAACTGCATGACACTGTAAATATGTAGCATTAGATAATCAGGAATCAAGTTCTCTTGCATCTCTGTATATGAAATTAAATATATGAAACCTTTGTTACTTGAAGGCAACATGCAAACTTTTTTCACAATTAGAAATAACATTTATTTTTCAGGTTTATTTGTGCAGCAATTAAACAATTTTTTTCCTCTGGGATCTTCAGTGGTTTTGCCCTGTTGTGTTGACAAACTCTTATTAAAGAAAAATCTGAAGGTGGAATGGAGAAGAACAGACTCAGAGACTTTGGTTCATCTGTATCAAGATGGTGAGAGTCGAGCAGAGAAACAATCACAGGATTATCATGATAGAGCTCATTTCTTTACTGATCAGATTCAACATGGAAACTTCTCTCTCCGTCTGGACAATCTGAGAGCTGAAGATGAGGGACGATACACATGTAAAGTTTACAGTGACCAGGACTCTGTGTATTCAGCAGAGATAAATTTGGCAACACGTAAGTATATGGATAAAAGAAAGAAACTGATAGCTGCGTAGCATAGTTGTTCAGAAACATATATATTACATGTATGGTCAAAGACTTGCCGTAAACATTTTCCAAAATGTCAATCAAATGTCATTGTTGTAGTTCTTGGCCTTTCGTTGTCAAGTCCTGGATTAGGATGAAACCCGAACAGCACGAAAATGTTGCATGCTGTGGCACACTTTTGTTAACTAAAATATTAGGATGAGACAGTAATCACATGAAGGGTCTGTGTATAATCAGGGTATCTTCCATCCATTTGTTTTTTAATTTAATATTAAAAACAGAAAAATAAGAAAACGGTTCCTTTTTTCGTTTTTCATTTTTAAAAAAATGAAAAAAGATTTACGCTTGATTTTTCATTTTTCCATTCAGGCCTAGAAAATTAATAAACGGCTTGTGGGTGGGAATGAAATACCCCTTTCCACTGATTGATCAACCAAACTTTAAACCATGCCATCATCAGTTTTTCAGCAGTTCCGCACAACAGAATAACAGTCCTCCGCTGCTACATTTGTGTGGATTCTTAATGCGTTTATTGCAACTATATTTCATCACTTTCTCATCAAACAACCAGACTAATGAATGTCTAACTAATAGCCCGTATGGGGCAGAGCCTAGACAGGGCTTCTGTGTAGGCATAAATTCGGCAATCTGCACGTGAAATATTAGTTTATCTAATAATCCTGATATGACTTTATTTTGAATCTGCACCCACAGCTACCCCCCTAGCCTACATATTTGGCACATCGCCTGTTTTATTAAGCTGACATATCAAAGTCTGTGTGGCAAAGCCACGTGACCACTGATCTATAAGGGTGCGCGCAATGCAGACAGCGCGGAGCCAAAGAGTTTTGCGCTGTAGTGGAGCACAGACCAGTATTGATTTAAATGTAAATGTGTAAATGATTGTGTATCATCCGATCATTCAATTATTCCATTCAATCTGGCAAACGAAAAATGGTAAAAACCGGTCAATATTTTCGTTTGTCCTTTTTTCTGTATGAACCAAAAATTTATTTTGTTTAATAAACAAAAAATTAGATTTTGCTTCAACATATCTTATTTGGTATGTGGTTCACAATTTGTAAACTTTTAAAATAAGAGATCGGTTCGGCTGATGGCTTCAATATTTAATTGAAACGCCCCTTTCATTTGATTGGTCAAACAGCTCTTCTGTACTGCATTCATTCATAAGCTGATAGTGATGGTTATTTATTACTTTTGTATGTAATAACATAAATTATGATTCTGAAGTAGGTCCTACCTGTTTTTCTATGTGCCATTGATAAATGATTCGTCACTGGTTAAAAGTTAAATGTTGGGTGTAACCGTACTTCTGCTAGACCTGTATTGCAAACAGTGGCGGCGTTTCACAAAACCATAGGGTATGGCAGTGGCTATTTTTACAGGAACATAACCAGAAACGGAAAAATCATTCTGAAAAGAAGCGCTTATTTGAAATGGCCATTCAAAGGCCAGAGAAAACATAGGCCTAATACAATTATCCATAAATAAAAAAGAATATTAAGGCCTATACGCAAAATATATTTCACTTAAATATTAGGCAAAAAAAAAAGAAAACATGCTTCTTTAAAGATATAGGAAAGGAAACAGCGACATTCAGTTTGTTTTCGTTATTTTGCTAAATCTGAACATCTTTTCTAAATTTATGAATTATGTCTTGCTTTTACCTGTATGATAGTTTTGATAAATAAAATATACAACAGCACACCATAAGCACTGAAATATAGGGAAACAAAAAGAAAGAGGAAAAATATTATATATATATATATATATATATACAGTGGGTACGGAAAGTATCTGACAGTTTGTGCAGAAATTCATATATGTCTGAAATATCAGAGATATGTCACAGGAGATTGGGTCTGCGCCTCGGGCTGCACATCAGGCGGAGAAGACAGACCATTTAAGGGCATAGAGGCGTCTTGTAGACAATGCTCTATCCTGAGAGAGGAGGTCTCGTCTCATGGGAATGGGCCACGGGGCTGCCGAGAGCAGCTGGTACTGCTCTGCATACCAGTGCAGGTTCCTCCAGAGCGGGGCCACTAACAGAAGCTTGTGTCTGTGTTCCCTGACTCGCCTGATTACCTGCGGGATCAGAGCAACCTCTGCCCTGCCAAAGATCTCCCAGATTTCCTGAACCGTTTGAGAGTGGAGCGTCCACTCCTCCGAAGGGACGTTGCTCCAAGACAGCATGTCTGCTCCTTGGTTCAACCTGCCTGGTACATGCGCTGCTCTCAGCGAGCGCAAGTTGAGCTGAGCCCATTCCAAGAGGCGCTCCACCAGTGTGAAGAGGCACTTCGAGGAGAGACCGCCCTGGCGATTTATATAGAATACCACTGTCATGCTGTTCGAATGGACTAAACGTGGTGTCCCCTTAGGTCTGGCAGAAAGGTACGAAGGCCCAGACACACAGCCAGCATTTCCAGGCCGTTGATGTGAAGCCGACCTTCCACTTTCGACCAGTGGCCGAAAGCTGGTTTGCCATCGCACAGCACTCCCCAACCTGTGTTGGAGGCGTCTGTCGAGACCACCTTCCTTCTGCAGACCATTCCCAGGGGCACGCCCCGTTCCATCCACTGAGGATCTTTCCAAAGGGCCAGGGCTGTTACACAGGCCTGGTCCACCTTGACACGAAGGCGTCCGAGACGCCAGACGTGGGACGGAACTTGTGGTTTCAGCCAGTACTGAAGGGGCCGCATGCAGAGCAGGCCCAACAGAAGTACTGGAGACACAGAGGCCATGAGGCCCAGCATCCTCTGAAATGCCTTGAGAGGGCGAGAGGCTCCAACTTTGAATGCGACCGCGAGCTGCTGAATGGTCAGCGCACGTTCTGGCACGGCTATCGCCCTCATTTGGGCTGAGTCTAAAACTGTTCACAAGAAACGATATCCGTTGGCTGGGGAACAGCACGCTCTTGGCAAAACTGACCCTGAGTCCCAGGCATTCTAGGTGGCTGTGTCACGGTGCGTGTGGATAGATGAAGCGAGGACTCAAGTGCAGGATGAATGGTTCCTTCTTTTAATAATAAAATGAAACAAAAACAAACTAAAACAACCCCGAGGGGGAAAAACAGACACCGAAGGGGAAAAACAGGTAGGACAGGACAGGACAGGACAGGACAGGACAGGTACATCCAACACACGTACATACGAATAGTAACGAACTAGCACAAGACAGCAAACACTGGGAGACTAAGTAGGGCACGTAATGAGGGAGACAACAGGTGGAACCACTGAAACAATAATGAGGTAACAAGATGGGCGGGGTCAGACAATAGACAGGAGAGAGCACATGGCACCAAACAAATACAACACAAGCCATGTGCTCACCGAAAACAGTGTCATCTAGTGGCCATCCTGGGCACACCCGCTGAAGACTGTGACAGAACCCCTCCCTTAAGGAGCGGATTCCAGACGCTCCACCAAAAGAAATCCCGGAGGGAGGCGGAACGGAGGTGGATCAGGGGGAGGGATGGTGGGCCAGGCCCGTGTAGTGGAAGAGGGCTTGCAATATAACAAAGAGTGAAAAATTGAAGGGGGTCTGAATACTTTCCGTACCCACTGTATATATCGTGACGGAACTCACTGAACACCCCAAAAAAAAGGTTCGTTAGACTTACAGCGGTGCTGTGGGTGTATGATATCAAAGCATTCATTAACTGATCGGTTAATGCCGCTTTACGTAGAACACACCTAATTCCGTCTGCTGGATTAAGCACGCTCATTCTTGCATGTACATATAATTTTATTTTCACCACCCGCGAACTCACAAGGAGCTCATAAATGGCACTTTACCTCATCGTTGCTCCACGTTGCCCTCTGCTCATTTTGTTTTGGTTACACCGCGTCGACAAATCATGTCGCGTAACGTCGCATCTTGTCATTACTTCCTGTTTTTGGTTCGTTTAGAAGTATTTGGTCCGTCTTGCATTCATATATCATTCGAACCGCACCAGAGTTCGTTTGGAAGTAAGTGTGAACGCTGTCATCTGAAAAGATGGTCTCGGTCCGCTTGTTTGATGCGCACCAGGGTTCGGATGACAGCGTTCACACTTACTCAAACGAACCATACTAACAGAGCAATCGCACCAGGGTTCGTTTTAATCGAACCAAACATGACAAGTGTGAATGCACCCTCAATCTAAAGAATTGAAATGGGTCTGTGGAGCTATCCAAAATCACAGGCAGAACAGGCAGAATATGAGTTTTGGAGGGCTTTTTGTATGTAATGCAACATCAGATCGTCCTGAAACTGGCTGAGTGACACCCTGGTGTACTGGACAATTAATCTGAATTGAAATTAGTCTGTGGAAACAGTGAGTTTCTTTTTTAGAGCTATTCAAAATCACAGGCAGAACAGGTTGAATATGAGTTTTTTGGGGGCTTTTATTATGTAATTCAACATCAGATCGTCCTGAAACTGGCTGACTGACACTCTGGGGTAGCGGACTATTAATCTGAATTGAAATTAGTCTGTGGAAACAAGGAGTTTCCTTCATAGAGCTATTCAAAATCAAAGACAAAACCAGTCATTTGAGTTTTTGGAGGGCTTTTATTTTGTAATGGGAAATCAGACAGTCCTGACATTGGGGAAATGACATTCTGGACTGGTGTACTGTTAATCAAAAGTGAAACTTTTTTGTGAAAACAGGGAGTTTTATTCTAATGGATAAATATAATTGCAGTATATACTGTAATAATATAGGCTTAGCAATAAACAAGCCAAAACAAATTAATTTAAAACTAAACGTAAGGTAAATTTGGGCTTACCTCTCTCATTAGGCACAAATCCAAATGTGTCCATATTGGTGATGCAGCCTATTTGACGCTAAACTATTAGCCTTATTGGATAAAATAGGCTTTGTAGTACACGCGCGTAACGGCTGAGCTGTTTCCAATGAATGTAGTAGCTTATATAGTGTGCGCGTGAGGCGCCGGCGCGATCAAACATATATGTGGATTCAGATGCAGCTTCTAAAAAATAAAAGTATAGCAGGTGTAATTCTAAATTAAATATTTATTTTTAAAGCTAAATTTTGTTTGCTTTTTGTCATTCTTTGCTTTTCTCATTTAACACAATTAGGCTATATGACTTTAAAATATCTTTTGAGGGTACTTTTTTTTTTTTCCTTTTTAAAAACATAACATAAACTGAAATGATAGTCAGTGCTCGAATTGAGGGGGGCTGGGGGGATCCAAGTAAAAGTAAAAAAAAAAATAGACTTAGGGCGGTCCCCCCAGATATTTTATATTAGTATGGACAACAAAGACAAATCTGAAAAAACTGTTAGGATAGTAAATGAGATTAAAGGGATGGAGTCCGGGGAGTGAAATTCGAGGGAGGACGGCGTTTCATTTCCAACTGGTCTGCAGACTGCAGCCAATAAATGCTTATCGGTGCACCTCAGATCATGAAAGCAGACTGCTTTTTTGTCATTCATTATAACTAACAAAGTGTAGAGAAGATTTAATAATACAGGTGCATCTCAATAAATTAGAATGTTGTGGAAAAGTTCATTTATTTCAGTAATTCAA